CGTCGAGTCGAACACGATAGTCGAGTCTAACAACGATCGTCGAGTTGAACACGATCGTCGAGTCGGACACGATCGTCGAGTCGGACACGATCGTCAAGTCGGACACGATCGTCGAGTCGAACACGATAGTCCAACGAACACGATAGTCGAGTCGAACACGATCGTCAAGTCGAACACGATAGTCGAGTCGAACACGATAGTCGAGTCGAACACGATTGTGTTCGTCGAGTCGAACACGATAGTCGAGTCAAATACGATAGGCGAGTCGAACACGATCGTCGAGTCGAACACGATCGTCGAGTCGACGACGATCGTCACAATCGTCTAGATGGTGCCCTGTCGTCGAGTCGAACAAGATTGTGCGAGGTGCAATGTCATCGAATCGTTCATCGAATCGTGCATGGGTTGCGTGTGTGGAATTATGGGCGTGGATTGCGCACATAGATTCTGTGCAGTGTGTTGTCGTGCGGCCTCATTTGTTTCCATTGTTAGGTGGAGGGGGGTGAATAGTTCTATGCTGCTGTTGGTTGTTCTATGCTGCTGTTGACCGTTGCACTTGTGCCGTGCAGGGCGTCTTCTCTTCACTGTTGCTATGGAGATCTCTCATATGACCCTAGCACTTTGGCGTGCATGCAAGGCCCACCCTTTCCCACCTTGCGCGCTGTACGTCCGGCAATGTTAGGGCAGCGTAACCTATGAAGGCGCTTGTCTAGAAGACTTCGAATGCGACCCTTGGATGAGAATCCTCCCGTTTGGCAACAAACATTTAGACTCGTGGGAGGAGTACGAGTGGGTGAACATGACGGAGAGATGCCCATGGGCGTGCGATTATGAGTTCGCGAATATGTCCAAGTTCGGCAAACGCATTCCTGTGCCGTTCGATGTGATGCGTCACGTGCGCTTGCCTCTACTGTGTAAAAAGCTAAAATTAAGCCGTGTTGTGGGGGTTTTGGAGTGCGAATACATGACAACCTCACCTCCCACCTGGTGTTGTGTTATGAAACAGGAATTACTCGATTGTGCGCGACATTCTCAGTTCCTCGATCATTATCCGTTGCGTCCTACCGGTCTGTCGCCAAGAGAATTTTCGTATTGTTGTGTGAGATTGCGTCTGGCATACTTTATCTTCTGTAGGGTCCTCTGTATTGCCGTTTCGAGCAGGGCAAGAAACTTGACCGATGCTGTCGTGTATGTGTCAAGGAACGAGTTGTCTATGTCCGGGAGGGATATGTGTTTAGTTCAAAGAAGGGTAGATGGGAGACTGGATATCGTGTTGGGTGGCCAGGTGGAGGACGTTGGCGCATGGTGTGAGGTTGAGGCTAAAGTCGTTTCAATTCGGGATGCTATAGGCGCTTCTCTCGTCGGGAACTCTTGGTTCGTGCGAATGACATACATTTCGGTGTTTGCAAAGACGACGCAGCAGTTGACCTTCGGATCACCACTTAGCGTGTTGAATGGCCGCAAAGGCGAGATTGTTCCCCGTAGTCAATAGATAGCCTTGTGGAATTCGCATTGCGATAGCTGTTCTCAATGTGTTATTTCGATAACAATACACGGTATCTGCAAGTTGTTCTCGTCATGTGTTCAGTGGCAAAAAGTACACACGTGTGACGTTGCTGTCCTCATATTGTTTTTCGATTCATTGAAACCCAGGAATGATGACACGTGTTTTCGGTTTGGCTTTTGACACCGACACATCGCTGCCAGCCCGAGTGTTTGATTGTTGTTCTCATGTTGTGTTTCCTTTCGAAAAAAAAAACTCGTTGTTCTGATGTTTTGCGTGCACAAGTATTCAGCAGTCAATGTTTCTCCGTATTAACTTGTGTCTGCGATCTGTTGTCTTGTGTTCTCGTGATCAAGTGTCCCTTCAAGCAACGTCGACCGACCGTTGTGTCGAACACGACAAATGTCGCACAGCACACCACAGTGTCGCTGTCGTGTTCGATACGATGGTCGTCAGACGGTGCCCGAAGGGGCACTTGGTCGACTGTCGAACGGCAGGCGACGGTGTCGCTGTTGTGTCGAACACGACGGTCAACTCCCCTTCAGGCACCGTTTGACGACCATCGTGTCGAACACGACATGGACACTATGGTCTGGCGACCAGACGGTGCATGAAGGGGCCCTTGGTCAACTGTCGCACGGCAGTCAACAGTGTAGTTGTCGTGTCCAACACGACGGTTGGACAGCCCGCGCAGTACCGAGCTCGACGTCGAGCACGACGATGAGTTGGTCGGCCGTCGGGTTCGACAAGACCATGACACGACGACACCGCAATGTCGCTATCGTGTCGAATTCGACAGTACTCGAGGACGTCGTCGCACGACCGTCCAGTTCGACACGACAGTGAAACGACGACGAGCTGGCGGGCACGGCGGACCACATTGTCGCTATCGTGTTCGACACGATGGTCCGCAGACGGTGCCTGAAGGGTAACTTTGTCGACTGTCAAACGGCAGACGACAGTATCGCTGTCGTGTCGAACACGACATTCAGCTCCCCTTCAGGCATCGTTTGGCGACCATCGTGTCGAACACGACATGGACACTGTGGTTTGGCGACCAGACGGTGTATGAAGGGGCGCTTGGACGATTGTCGCACGACAGACAACAGTGTAGCTGTCGTGTCCAACACGACGGTTGGACAGCCCGCGTTGTACCGAGCTCGACGTCGAGCACGACGACGAGTTGGTCGGTCGTCGGGTTTGACACGACAGTGACACGACGACACCGCAATGTCGTTATCGTGTCGAATTCCACGACACCGCAATGTCGTTATCATGTCGAATTCGACGACACTGGAGGATGTCGTGGCACGGCCGTCGAGTTCGACATGACAGTGAAACGATGACGAGCTGGTGTGCTGCGGCTCGCTTCCGTTGCTCTGTGTTCCTGTCTCTTGTTGTTCTCGAGTGCTGTGGTGTTTGCACGTCGGAAAAGCAATGACTGCTTTCTCGCTTGTGCGTTTTCTTCAGTTGCGACTAGCTGCTCGACATGGATCGTGAGGGGAGGCCAAGCGAACGACGTACTAGTACTGGTTCCGGGAGCATGGA